AAATATATACATATATATATATATATATATATGGGGGGGAGTGATGAATGCTGGTTACAGTCCACGATGAAGAGAGCAGCCGGACCGAGATGGCTTACACCCACAAGTGCTAGAAGTGGACAGTGAATTAACCACTCCGACTCGAGAATGGTAACTTCTTGGCCTCGTAACAGCTCATTGCCGAGTTGAATGACGAATGTTCTGCAGTCGTGTAAGCCGCGAAATGAGGATATCCCAATTTGATATAAAAATATATTCTATCAATCCACATCGGCATAATAAGGTCTACGGTCATTGCAATTGATGCGGAACGAGTGAGAACTGACAGTTCGAGCAAAAGGAGCCGTTCTCCATTTGGAGACCTTGGGAATGGGGGAAGAAGACGAAGAGTAAGGGTGGGCAAAACGATATTTTAGCCAACTTTCGGTCAACCCAGTCGTTGGCTGTGGGCATGGAGCAAGACGATTCAGGTCATCAAGGCAACAAGCCACAAGAGAAGATAGACGGGAGAGTGGCCAACCAAAGTGGGGACTTCTAGAAAGTCTTTGGTGGCTCATTGGATTCACTATAAACAGGCAGAAGCAAGCATATGTGGGAATGAGGAGAAGCTGGAGGATGGACACAAGCAAATTGCATAAGTTGGCACTGGAGGGTATAGATTGTCAATAGATTTGACAGAAAGAGTGTGCGTGACAAAAAATTTTCTTAATTGATTATTTGTTATTAAAATAATTCTGATTATAATTTGTTACTTATTAGAAAAGGCTTAGTCAGCGACAAAATCCGAGTTCATCAGGATGCGTAAAAGCATGAAGTGCTGGCCAAAGTGACCAGTGCAACCAGGACACCAGACGCACTCAAGGTGGCACTCCGAGATGGGCTCTTGTCATTAGCTTGAATATGGTTGTAAGAATGATACCTTATTATGAGGAGGCCCGTCATGTGATACACAAAAGCTAGGCACGTTTTTACCGAAACTAAAGACGATTGCATCGGGGTCAGTGCTAGTCAGAATATTCCAGATAAGTCAGCAGAGAGCTGACGAAGAGGAGCCCATCCTCATCTTCTAGTGGGATGGAACACCAAATCTTCTCATCACAAACATTCACTAGAAACGGAAGTGGGCTCAGCAAATAAACCAAGCCAGGTTGTTTAAACAAAAGTAATTTGAGGCGATATGCAGTCGAGTATTTGACACTAAACGCAATACCCTAATTATTATGCGATGTATTCACCATATTTCGTTTAAGATGATGAAAGAGTGGTAGCTGAATTTTCCCACAATGATATGAGTAGAGCAGACGTTTCCATTGAATTCCACATGACCTTACTTTCCCAAAAGGTGCAGTCAAGAGTACACGCTGGAGTATCATTGTTCGACTCCGGCTGGGGGTGATGGTAGGAACTAGGCGAGGTCGAAACTGCAGTCCACCATGAACGAGAACACCATTTGGGAACGCAAAAATATGCGAAATTTAATGGAAACGTCAGCTCTACTCATAGCATTGTGGGAAGATTAAACTAACAATCCTTCATCAGGTTAAACGAAGGAGAGTGAATAAATCTCATACAAATTATTTATTGGTAGACTCGAAAAACTACTTAAACGAAAAATTAATTAGTATGTCGTTAGTAGAAGTTTGTATAGTAGTTATCAAGAGTTAGTTTACTTACTGTAAATTGGATATAGTATCGTGAGTATAATACAGTTCTGACTATGTCTTTCATGTAATAAATGTTTTCAACATAGCACAAAGAAGATGCCTCGTGGGATGAAGAGAGACGGGAAATAGTCTTGGTCTTCAAGAGGAATCGAAACAGGAAGATCTTATTCAAGAAATCTTACACAAAATGAAAGTCATTAGTACAGAGTTATCAGGAAGTTAATTTTTGCGAAGAAAAATTGTGCTTCGAGGAATTTCTTGTTTCATACTTTTTGAGCTTATTTCCATTTCGAATGAAAGTGTTTGGTGAATATATTCGAAGGTCGACGTCGGATTCTGCTTGATCAGCTGGAATATTCTTATTGACGCTGTTTCTGAGGCAATCTCCCTTTATTCCGGTAAAAGCGTGCTAAGCTTTCCTCCATCGTATGACTGATATCATCAGATCAGGGAATCATCCCTGCAACCATATTTAAGTAAACGAGACAAGCCGGTATATATGGATGTATTTATTTATTTATTTACAAGTAAGCTTTCGAGACTACCAGTATATTATAAATATGAGATGTATTCCTACTATTTCGTGTAGAGTGATGTGAAGACTGCTAGTTGAATTTTCCCACAATCATATGAGTAAACATGACATTTCCACTGAATTTCACATAATCTTGCTCTTCCAAGTGATATTCACATCCAGAATGGACTAAAATTTCGACCTGTCTATGCCTTATCAACACCCCGAGCAGGACTCGAACCGTGAAACTGCATTGTAGGATCTCGAAATGTTAACCTCTACGGCAAATTGCCACGAGTGCCCGGCATATAATGTGATATTAGCAAATGACTGGCTTTACTCAAAACTGATATCTGCCCTGTGAACCAGGGGAACTCGCGACAATGTGACTTAGTGGTTAGCGTGCCGAGATCATACACTGCAGTGTCTTGGTTCGAGTCCCGCTGGGGTGTTGATAATAGCTAGATGAGATCAAAGGTGAAGAAGAAAGGTTAAGTGAAGTTCAGTTTTACTCATATCATCGTGGAAAAATTCAGCCACGAATCACCTTATCACCATAAGCGGAATAGGATTAATATATCTCATATATATTTATTAATGTATAAATATATCTATTTATACATGCATATATGTAGGTTAGCCAGAATTTATGGAGTCACAAATTCGCAGATTCAGAGTCGCGGAGTCTAAGCAGAAAGTAAGGCTTCAGGGGGTCGAGCTGCATGAAATCCAGGTTGATCGGGGGCTAATGAATGAGCCAAAGCCGTTAAAACTCGCCTTTCAAAGACTAAAATCCTTGATTTTAAAGCCTCGCGAAAATAGGGCATTTCATAGAAAAGAAGTGCCTGCATTGTTTTGACGAAACAGTAAATCAACGTGGAGTTCTGCTATGGCAACCCAGAGGCATGCATGAGAGGCAGCTCAACAAGCAAAACAAAATTCAGAGGCTTGATGGCTGTTTTTGCCAGCCATGGACGGTACTATCAAGAAATGGGCTATGGCTACTCTGATTAGTCGGACCTGTTGAACTACATTTTTGCTGTTTAAAAAAGAAAGAAACAATTTTCAATATCAAGACCTTGATTTTCAGGCCTGGTTATCTCTATATGTTAACTTTTCAGAGTCCATTTTTTTCAAGAGTCTTGTTCAGAGCCTGTTTAAGAACATTTTCCTCTGTCGCCAACCAAACCTAACGAACAGCGCTATTCTGGTCCATGAAGATGCGTAATTAAGAAAACTGGCTAATAAGCCTATTTTTGAAGGCCCATACACGTAGTTCTAATTCCGCCATGATGAGATCGTGGATCTGTGCTTATCGAATGCGTAGCAAAACTTCAAGTAAACAAAGTAAATGGCGCAAGGAGACTTCGAGTACTTGGACCTCCAGTTGTAAGTTTACCGTCCGCAATGACTGGTCGACTAACTTTTCCTTTCACTTGCGATTCGATTCTATCCGGTGATGAATAACACCGAGAACAAA